TCCAAGATTAACCTTGAGGGTGGATATAGCTCGCTCACACCGAGGATCTATCCACATCATCATTTACTCAGAATGCTTTGTGTGTAAATAAAATGGCCCCGTCCACGATATTTTGAAAAATTATAAAAACTGAACACCCTACAGTATTTTACAGTCTTTATTTTACAATTAAAATAAATGTTTATCAAATAGTCTACTGTAATGTTACAGCTAATCGGGAATCCCTTTAAGTGAAATATAAAAGTAACCGAATCAGTTTGTGATCTTTGAAACAAACACCTGTAATTCTGCATTTAACCCTTTATGTGGGATACAAAAGATTACAGTTATTAAACTACTTTTAAAGAAAGTGTACAGGACAACTTTTARACCTCAGACACTAACATTATTCTAAAGATAAGGTTTGTTGTTAAGTTAGTCATTTTTATTATTGTGTGTAACTGTCAAAAAAAAATTCACTCTTAATGTGATTTTTTAAATAAATTGTATTTTTTTTTCAAATAACCTCAAACATCTACAACCCTGACTTTGGTGCCACTCAGATTATCAGAGGCTCTTTTGGCGAGGCCTTTTTCAAATGTTCTGATGCCCCGCCCACTCAWAGGGTGGAGATGTGCCTGGAATGTGTTTTCCCCATCAGGACAGAAACGTTTTTATAAACTCTCATGTTTGTTTGTTCGCTCTAACATTTTGATAATTTATCATATGAACCTGAAGGTTTTTGCTATTTAAAAGCATCAGGTCTGGTGTAATGAAGCTGKACCACCAGCAGAGGGCAGTGTAGAGCCACAAACTGGCTAATATATTAAACTCTTTCTGGGTTCTTCTATGGTTGMGTCATTATTTTTGTTTACCTCTTCCTTTTTTATGATTATCAMTATGAAAGTTGTTTTAAGATCACTGTTATTGTTCATCACTATTTTTTTTTGTTGCAGTTCCATATTTTGAAGACTGTCATGCTTCTGAACACCAACTCTGTCTGAAAATAGAACCACAAATAAAAAGGGTTACCATCAGTTTACAACTGAACAGAGCCTGAACATAAAGTAAAAACCTTTATTATCATTCCTCTAAAAACAGTCCTAGATAACTTAGCACAAGATAAACAATAACAATGCCAGGTGAAAAAGAAAAAAATTGTGTATGTCTTCTGGACGGGTTCTTCTCTAATGAAACGTTTCGTCTCTCCTCCAAGAGACTTCTTCAGTCTGAGAGTTTCAGGCACTTAACAGTGTTGTTAAGTGCCAGGAGGACTGCGACCAGTTATACATGGGGGAAACAAAGCAGCCACTGTTCAAAAGAATGTCCCAACACAGACGAGCTACGTCTAATGGCCAGAACTCTGCAGTTTTCACTCATTTACAGGCCAGCGGTCACTCTTTCAGAGATGAGGATGTTCTCATTCTTGATAGGGAGGAACTTTGGTTTGAGAGAGGAGTAAAAGAAGCCATTTTTGTGAAGAAAGACYGTCCATCATTAAACAGAGGTGGAGGCCTCCGTTTTCAGTTATCCCCCTCCTACAGCGCGGCTATTGCCAGTATCACTCCACCCGCTGTTAACAATAAGTGTGAATTAGGTGTCAACAATAGCCATGTGATGTGAGTATCAGTCACATGGAGGCAGGGCTTAAAAGCCTGAATTTTGCCTGAAACTCTCAGACTGAAGAAGTCTCTTGGAGCCGCGGTAAAGCTGGCCGGCTCTGACTCCAGCCGGCCCAGCTCACAATCTACTATTGCGCGGTAACTCAAGACA